CTCCATCTGACCCATCTCCTGCTAAGCTGTTCAGTGCTGCCACCATGCTGCTAAGACGACCTCCTGTGGGGCCCCGAGAGCCTAGCCCTGCTCTAGAGACCATACCCACCCACGAAGCCACCATTAAGGCCCTATCTGGGCTCTGTTTGGCCACACTGCTTTGCTCATCCCATCCTGCTGCACTTTATTTTTGAGGCCCTTCCATCTCTGGGTGCCTGTTCTGGTGAGCAGGACACCCCAGGCTGACATAAACTCTGCAGGTCTGTCTTAGTTGCCCACCTCTACCCATCCAGTCCACACCCTATCCCACTGCTCTCTTCCAGAGCTGCTCACATGGTGCAGCAGGAGAAGCATCTCCACCTGTGCCAAGCGCTTCCCCAGGCACTGGCGTAGCCCAAAGCCGAAGGCCAGGTGCTGGAAACTCCTTTTCCTCTCCAGCCAGCGCTGGGGCGTGTAGCGCTCTGGCCTTGGAAATACTGCAGGGTTTCGGCCCATGGAGTAGAGATAAAGTAGGACTAATGTCTGTGGGCAAATGCCAAGGGCAAGGTCAGCTTTGAGGTGATGCAGAACAGGGCAATTGGTGGGCATATGAGGGTACTCACCCCAGCAGGAACATGGTAGTTCTGAAGCATTAAGTCAGAGCTTAGAATTCTCTCCAAAAAGCCACCAACAGGATAGAGCCTGGAGGTGGGCAAGAACAGAAGCGTCCCCAGCTATGAAGGGCATCCCCTATCCAAATCTGTTCCTTTTTCCCTCAGGTCTTTCAGGGTCGTGGTTCCTGGGTATGATCACCTCAGCCAACCTCAGAAGGAACAATAGCGTCCAGCCATAGGGAGAAAAGCAGACATGGCTTTCCTCTGCCCCAGTAAAGAGGACAAAACAGCAGGGAAAGGGTAGCCAGCACCCACCTCAAGGTCTCTTTTAAGGTAGCCCGCAACAGGGGCAGATCTGTTAGAGCTCTCTGAGGATTTGCTGCAATGCTGGCCTCAGCTGCCAGGCTCTCTTGCCGAAGTGCCTGCTGAACATCTGGGTTTCGAGCCAGCTCAAAGAGGGTCATTACCAGAGGGAAGGTTGTCTGCAGGAGCCAGAGAAGTTTCAGACACTGTCCCTCGTCCTCCACAAAGGGAAACCCTACTACAAAAAAAATGCTCCTCTCTGGGAGAAGTGTATATCCAGAGCATGATAGGACTATGGGAAGCATGACCCTAAATCCATTCCAGTCCTGGCCACAATCTCAGCACCTGAAGAGTCTGATGATTAGAGCCTGCTCTGGTACTCACTGGGGTGGGCCTCATTGTCACTTAGGGACACTGCCTCTCACATCTACGTTTTCCAAAGCCTGATTGTCATCTACTGGTTCCCCGGCACTGACCTCACTGCTCAAGCCTGAAATGGATTTAAGTCCCCTCACAGCCTCCTCCCTACATCAGTGAGAATCCCCAGAGTGAGCCCGGAGCCCCTGTGTTCAGAATTACTCATTATGGCTCATCCTACAGAAACAGCCTCTTAAGATTCTTGCTGATGTCACCAGATTGCCCCCATGCTCTACTTGGGCATGCTGACTTTGTATTTATCTGACCCATGGCTTGATGCAGGACCCTTCCTGAGGGATCCAAACCCCTCCTGGTGTCATCTGTCTCCCTGTCTCTTGCCTTTGACAGCCAGCCACCCCCATAAGCTTTGCGTTGCTGCTTGCAAATGGCTCCACCCTGAAGGGTCCCCTGTCATGAGCTCGCACTGCTCCTGCACCTTCACTTGCAGATCTCCCACTTCCATCACCTCTGGTTAGAGCCTTCAGTGAAGGCCAACAGGCTCTAAGCAGAAACAACCTGGGAATGCAGGTCATAGAAAATGCTTTGGAGGATACAAACAGGGAGTCACAGGGGATTCCACCCCGATGGCCTGACCGTGTCTACACTCCCAGCGGTGAGCTCAATAGAGTTGGCTTTGATGGCGTCGAGAGGCAAAGCTCCCTGGGATATTAGTTCTGCCACGATGCCACTGTAGGAATGAGGATTGCCAAGTCTGAGCTCCTGGTGCACCTTCCGGATACATCTGTTGGCTGGAGATGTGAGGTGGGAACTTGAGAAGAGGCAGCCACCCCTGTCCTGTTATGTACCCCACTCTCATGCTCAATGACAATTCCTGCTCTTCTCCCACTATCTCTGGGTCAGTTCAGCCATAGAATTGGTGGGAATATGTTAAAAGATCAGGAAGCAGCAGTCACTGTCATTTGAGATAACCCTGGTGTAGCCATAAGTAAAGGTGAATGGTAATGAGCTGACTGTTGTCCCCTGCCCCATGGCACTGCCCAGGTCAGCGACCCTCACCATACTCAGAGATGACATCCCAGGCCTCAAAATGTTCTTTCCACACCCGGGTGCTTGTCCAGCGAGTCAAGCTCCTGGGCAAGAACATGAGCTGTGGGGTGGTCTTGAACACGGAATGCAAGGCATGGATGAACTTCAGGCTGTCAGGACTCAGGTCATGGCCAAGGAGGCCCAGTCGCTCCCCAAAAAGAGCAAAGTTGCTTGCTGAAGAGAAAAAAAATGGTATCCCTGGGACAAAGCAGTCCCTGTCCTCCAGACTGCCTCATGTCTCCCTCCCCACAGGTCCCCCCCCCCCGATAGCCTTCATTTGGTATCTTACCCTGGCACATACCTTCTATACTGTAGTTGAAAAGGCTTTGCTGCACATCCATGGTGAGGCTCCCACGAGCATTCTGAAACACCTTCTTCTTCAGGGCCTCCAGGAAGTCCTGTGCTACCATGTCCACCATGGGGACAAACTTCTGAACAGCCTTTGGTGACAGCACATATGGGTTGAGCCTCAGTCGGTTTAAGCGCCATTCAGGCCCATTTCTGCAGGGCACAGAACAGAGCTACAGACACCTCCCCTTATAGGCCTGGCCCAGGCCTGTGCCCATCTTTCGGCCCCTCAAAGAAATTGGGCAAAGATGTGTAGGCTCAGAAGCAGACTCTGCTGGTCCTGTCCCCACTTCTTTCTATAAACACAGCATGCATGTGTTGGACAGAGCTCACTAAGTCTAAGGTGGACTTGGTGCATCCACAGCTATGGGTCAAGCTCTGCCCACCTGGCCTATGCCACCTCCCCACAGAGGAGAATCCCCAGCTGAGCTCATCAAGCCTGTCAGTGCTGTACAATGTGTGGTCTCTGAGTCACCAGCACCTGCCTGTCTCAGCTAAGGGATCTCGTCCTCCCTAGGGCAGGAGCCACAGCAGAGGACATCTTACAACATGCACAGACCACAGCCCAGGGCACAGGGCTCCCAGGAAGACTCTCCAGTGATTGACAGCAGGAGTCAACATGCACAGACCACAGCCCAGGGCACAGGGCTCCCACGGAGACTCTCCAGTAATTGACAGCAGGAGTCAACATGCACAGACCACAGCCCAGGGCACAGGGCTCCCACGGAGACTCTCCAGTAATTGACAGCAGGAGTCAACATGCACAGACCACAGCCCAGGGTACAGGGCTCCCATGGAGATTCTCCAGTGATTCACATCAGGAGTTCACACACACACACACACACACACACACAGCCCAGGGTACAGGGCTCCCACGGAGATTCTCCAGTGATTGACAGCAGGAGTTTACACACACACACACACAGAGAGAGAGAGAGAGAGAGAGAGAGAGAGAGAGAGAGAGTACATTAGCCTGTCCTTCAGTGTGCTAAAACCTGCAACAATTGACAGTGGCCACAAGCACATGTATATACACACATGTATTCACACAGGACCTCAAAAACATGTGTGAGCTCCCAAGTCCCTGTGTGCACAAAACTAAGCCAACAGCCAAGCACAAAGGTGGAAAGACCCACAGAGAGTCACAGATGCAGAAAACACAGTTTCACATGTAAACAAAAATACATTGGTCACACATTTACACACATGTAAGAATATACGCTGGTGTATGCATGCACACACACGGGCTTCCTGCTCCCTCAGAGGCGTGTGCTCACACTTTGCCCACAGCTACCATTTGCATTTGGCCTCCCTGCCAGTTTCCCTCAGTTAAGTTCATAACCAACATGCCCATTTCCCAAAACTATTTTATGAACAAAGGATACACTCTGGCAGGCATTGGTGTGTCTGTGTGCAGCCTGACTTCCCTGTGTAGGCTTCTCCACACCCACTAGTGACCTCTTGGCAGCCTATCCACTCCAAGCACCAGAACTCCTGCTTAGCTCTCCAGCTATGTACCCAGCTACAAGAGGGAACTTTCCCCTCTCTTACCTGAGTGGTATTTGATTTTGAGCCCACAGGAGCTCCAGTTTCCTTCATCCCCAGAACTCCTTCATCCCCAGAACTGTCTACCTCAAATCTCTGTAAGTGAAATTGCCCCTACAAAAGGTAGACTGTATTGATGAACATCAGGCTGTGGCAGAAGCTAGTTATGGCCCTGAACAGTGACACCCCTTCCTGGGGCAACTTTGAAACTGGTAAGAAGGAGAATTACACCCTATTAAGGCCTATTCAGAGCAGGAATTTGAGGCAGAAGGCATTCCCCTGCCACCCCTTCTCCTAAGGTCCAGGATCTACATGGCATGGTACCAACCCATGCTTGGCAATGATTGGCCCCCACGCCCCAACTCAAGCAGGATCTGCAACCTGTGTCTGGGCCACCAATCTCACCTCCCTGCTCATTCTCAATGACCACTCACAGCAAGAACACTCCACGTCTCAGGCCACGGTGTTCTCTGTGGGCTACCCAGGGCTCTAAGTGCATCCGACGAGGGTGCATACTCTCCACCTGGTGCAGCTTCTCAGCATCCTCGGGCAACATCACAGACACAATCTGTGTGCTTCCTATGCTGTACCTATGGGGTGAAGAACAGAGCCCTCCTGTGGATGGAATGCCCTCCACCTGAGCACCCTGCAAACAGCCCTGTCTGTGTGTTCTCTCCTCTCACCCCATCCTCTCCTAGCCCTTGCTCTCCCTCCTGGAGGGCTCTCCCACTGTCTGCCTGACTCCTCTCCACTTCAGCCCTCCTGGCACTCTGTCCTCTCAGTGATGAGCTGTGCCTTTCTCTGTCCATGTGGAGAACCATGGTCTCCACGAGTCAGGCTCATAACCTCCTGTGTTCCCTCCCTGTCTTCCTAAGGAGGGAGCGCCTGGTGCCTCCTGGGGAGTGCAGCAGCACCTCATCCCTGAAGAGGATCAGCAACATGGGGCCAGGAAGCTCTGTCCATGCTCAGCTACATGTCCAGAAGACCCTTACCTGAAAATGGGCCCCAGTTCCTGGAAGGCCTGATGCATCTCCAGGTGCAGGTTCTCCTGGCCCTGCTCCCTCAGGATCTGTATCATCTTCAGCCACCTGTTTCTGGAGTACTGTGGTATGGCTTCAAAGGGCCGCAGTGTGTTGGGAGTCAGTGCTGCTGTTGTGCCCAGTGCCCTCGTCCTGAGAAGACACTGCCAAGGTCTTGCCAGCCACACATCTGCCTTTGGCCTGAGAGCCATTGCCATTGCTTCCTACTCTCTTCTTCAGCCCACAGGCTTTTTATCCTGCCTGTGTACTGTACTGTTCGACTAATCACGTCATGGAAGAAACTGTCCCTGGACTTCCCCTGAGAGATCCAGGCTCTAATCATAGCTGGGGCTCACCTATTAGTAGAAGTGTATGACCAACTCCCTAACATCATCGCTCCAAAGCTTGCTGGTGGGTGGAGACTGGAAACAGCTATAGTGCCTACCTGGGGGACTATGTTGCCTGAGGTAGAGGGGGGGCAGAAATCTCTTCTCCCTATAGATGGAAAAAAGAAGATGGATGGATCCTTTATCTTTTGAAGATACAATAGAAGACCTTGGTTTCTTTTAATAGACTTTGTCATTTTTTAGTGACTTTAGTAAAAATAAATCTAAGAACCAGAAAGTGTGTGAAAGCATTATATTTTTCAAGTTTGAATTCAGTTTCTTTAAAAAAAAAAATGGAAGAAAACTTTTCATTGTTGCTACATGTGAAACAAGTATGACACTGGTGGCATCCTGGTGGTGATGTCACACTGGCACATGAGATTCTAAGGGTAGCTCTGCTCATGGGCCAGGACTGTCTTCTGCACAGTCCGTGGTCTGTTCGGACAAGTCTCACCCTCAGCTTTTTCTCCCCTTCTAACACTTGTGAAGGCCTCTAAACTGCAAGCTGTCTGCTTTCTTGGTACAACAGTGTTATACAGGACTAGCCTCCAAACCAAATTTTCACCTTCTTCACTTCTGCTGGGCCTGATCACAGAAGGTCCTCTAGTCTGCATTTGTTGACTAATTACACTCCCTCATAAAAGAGCCCTCATCTAAGTATTCCATCACTCCTCCAAACCCACCGTAGTCATTGTAGCCTAATTTCAAATGGCCTTGGAATATCTGAGAGAGGCTAGAGTGTATATGATGGGAATAATTAGGGCAAGGACTCCATCTATACAGCCATGGGAGTAGCCATCATTCCAGCTGGGTGTAGACCCTCCAACACAGCTTCTTTAAGGTCACTAATCTTCTGCCCCAAATGCGCTTATCCATTGCTCTGTAAGTAAGACTAAAAAACTCATTTCTTCCCCAGGGGTGAACATTGGAAGAATTGTACTTTAGCTTACCATTGACTTCCCTGTTGCTGCTGCTGCTGCTGCTGCTGCTGCTGCTGGTGGTACTGATGATGGTGGTGATGATGATGTTGATGGTTAATGATGATGGTGGTGGTGCTGATGATGATGGTGGTGATGATGTTGATGGTTAATGATGATGATGGCGGTGGTGGTGGTGGTGATGATGATGTTGATGTTGATGGTTGATATCCTGACATTATGCTGATCCCACCTCCCATCTTCCAGTGAGATCCATCCACTAGCATTTCATGCAGATAGCTAGCCCAGGGACCCCGTGAACATACATCACTACACCATGCATTGCACTTTAAGCATAGGAAAACCTTTGAATAATGTTTCTATGTGGCAGTCATCACAACAAAGCTTTAGGCAGAGCTACATCTAAAGCCCCAAGCAACATAGTAGAGCACCTGTGACTTTACAATAAAAAGGCGTTTTATTGGCTGATAAGCCAAGCTCAGAGCTGGGGCCTAGAGGAAGGATCTGTAATCAGCATCAGGATAGATTCTATTGGAGATGGATGCAAAGTACACAGGGCCTCTTTCATGGGGGTGGTTCTATTCACTGAGAGACAAAGCTGAGGATTAGGGTCTAAACAATTCTCCAGATATTGAGGGGATTAAGATGCTAATAGAATAGCAAAGGATGACCAGGTCATTTAACTACTTTCACTCTGGTGTTTCAGGTGACCAGGTGTCATTCATTTCCTTCCATTGAAGAAGCTAGGCCTGTGTGATTGACAACCCTGATTTCTCCAATGCTTACTCTAAGCTGTGCTTCCTAAAGCAGGTATGATTTGGCTGTCATCACTTTAAAGACATTGTTTCTATCCCTCTAGAACATGAGTAAAATATCTCCTCAGCCACGGATGGGACTGTGTGCCTACCTCCCCTCCTCCATGCTGGGAATTTGTCTGGCTTGAGCTTGTGTAGGTCTAATACATGCTGTCACAATTGCTGTGAGGAGTTCATATGTACATCTGCCCTGTTATGTCTGGAAATCATTTCCTTGAAGTTATCCACAAGCTCTGACTTTTACAACCTCTGTGCCTTCACTTCCACAAAGATCCCTGAGACCTAAGGAGAGGGTATGATATGGATGTCTCATCTAAGATTGAGTACTCCACAATCTCTGCATATTGACCAGTTGAGGGTCTCTGTGTTAATTGTCCTCTACTGTAAGAAGTTTCTCTAATAAGGGTTGAAAGATACACTGATCTATAGGCATAACAATAAGTCATAAGTAGTCATTTTAAATGTTATGTCTATTTAACAAAATAATAGTTGCAGTTTTTTCTTAGATGCCATGACCATAGGTCTTGGCCTCGTCAACAGTGTTAGGTATAGATACCATCTCATGGAGCATGCCTTAAATCCAATAAAGTGGTGGGTTATTTCTATAACATTCATACCACTATTGCACCAGTGAGTATATCTGCGAGGCAAGCCATTAGTATAGCTCACTAGGTTCACAACTGAGTGATATTGATGATTACTTTTCTCCTTTGTTAGCATGCATAGCACCTTCTAGCACCATGAAAACTGGCTAGTAGAAATGAAGCTTTCAGTTGAGTGCCAACTTGGTTTCTTCATAATCTAAGACTTAAGTATGTGATGTCTTCAGCAGTAGGATCTTACTGCAAAGTTCTGGAGTGAAACAAATAGCAGTGGCAATAGTCTGTAATGTTTTTGCAGGGGGGTCTATGGGACCCTACTCGTTAAAAACTCAAAAAGTGGTAGCCCATTTCTGGTTCAGAGATTTTCATGTAGAAGCATGTGCTGTCTAGTTGGAGTATTATGCTTCTATTATAGGGTAACTCCATTTACCTCTTTTTATATATGTATGTATATATGTATGTATATTTAGAAAGCTCTCTAAAACTACAGAGTGAGCTTTGTCCTGGTTTTGTTTCCATTTGTTATGCACTGCCATGGCTGTAGAAAGTTTTTTGTGGGTTTTTTTTTTCATTTTTTTTTATTTTTTATTAGTTCAAATTAGGAACAAGCTTACTTCACATGTCAATCCCTTCTCCCTCTCCCTCTGCCTCCCCTCTCCCAACCTCCACTAGTCCCCCCACCCCATCCCCTCCATGGGGGCTCTAGAAAGTTTATCCTGACAACTTTTATTATCATAAATGCGACTCCTTAGCAGAAAGGATATGTGATAGGTAGGGTTTTAGTTGGGGGGAGGGTGACAGGGGAGGAGGGGAGGGAGAAGGGAACTGGGATTGTCATGTAAAACAATCTTGTTTCTAATTCAAATAAAAAATCTGCAAAAAAATAAGAAAGGAAGAAAGAAAAAGAAAGAAAGAAAGGAAGGAAGGAAGGAAGGAAGGAAGAAAGAAAGAAAGAAAGAAAGAAAGAAAGAAAGAAAGAAAGGGGAAAAAATTTTAAAATATGCTACTCCTTCATGACCTTTGGTCTTATTGATCTGTTTTTTAAGGGATGTGTTCAAATTATCGTTCTGTTGCTGTGTGATAAAACACTCTGACCAAAAGCAACTTAGGGGAGAAAAAGATTTACTTCTACTTAGACTTCCAACTCACAACCCATCATTGAGGGAAGTCAAGACAGGAAATTTGAGAGTGTTGCTTACTGGCTCACTATTTGCAACCCACAGTGGCTTAAAGACTCCCACATCAATCATCAGTCAAGACAATACCTTGCAGGCAAAACCACAGAACAATCTGATTTGGGCAGTTTCTCATTTGAGACTTTCTTAGCTGATTCTAGGTTGTATTAAATTGACAGCTGAAACTAACTAGGACTGGGTAGATTAGTCCTTGGCAAACATGACTCCATTTTGATTCTACGTATTTCTCAGAGGGAACAGTCTGGCTTCATCCCATTGGCCCCTCGGTTCTTCAAAAACTACTAGGCAACTCCTCCACCAGTCCTGACAGCATAGCGGCTCCTAAGGCTCCATTCTGCTCCGAGAACTAGCACTCCAACGCAAGCTTAGGAGGGACACTACCCCATCTCTATCTGGAAGGTGGGGGACTCAGGCTGCACTCTTCATGGATCACTATGGCTATAATCAGAAAACATTCCCTATGAGGTCAGGGAATCTGCATCTGCATCCCTTAGGAATGTCTAAACTCAAGCTGAGACATTTCCCAAATGGCACAGGGCTCAGGATACCCAAGCATGTGGGCTCCTACCTGTGTGTTTCTTGCTGCTGCTGCTGCTGCTGCTGCAGTAAGGCCCCAAGGACCCCTGGAGCTAAAAGGGAAAGTGCAGAAGAGGTAAATCCCACCCAGATGAGAAGGAAGAAAACGGAGCTGCCAGTGAGTTGGGATGGAAAAAGCCTTTGGGCAGAGAGGACAGCTGGATTCTCCGTGCTAGGAGTACATAGCAAGGGAGCAAGGCATGGGTGAGGGGACCCCAGGCACAGTGCTGAGGCCAGTAGAGGTTGTGTGGGTGTGTAAGCAGGGGATAGTCATGATTTTGCTGTTCTCATTTCAATTTAATTTAACCAGTTTCCCACTCCCCATATTTCCCTGCAGGATGGCTGTGGGGGAGGAGGGCGGTGTATCAGAACTGCCATGGATCTTTTGCAAGCTGTAATAGATGGCGTGTCTACTGTGTGCCTCGGCCTACATGAGGTGAACCATGCAGCCTGGGTTCTTTGCATGTCCTTGGGGCGGCAGAGCAGTCAGCTCTTGCTGTTTCCAAATATTCTCCCCAACCCCATCCTTTTGCACAATCCCTGGCTAATCCTGGGAGTTTCTAATTTGGGTCCCATGACCCTTCTCAGCTCACCCACAAGGAGACTGAAAAGTTGGGTCTTTTGAGGGAACTGCAGGTGTCCAGAGTCTCCATCAAACACTTGACACTGGGTTCTGCAGCCCCTGGATTCTCTAGACTCCAACATCTGTTATCTGTGTTATGTAGATGGGCTGGGGACTGTCTTCCACTTTTCCAAAGAGTATTTCTTCAGGGGCTATATTATATATGGACTGTTTGACTAGGGGATGGCTCATGGCTGTAATTTCAGCACTCAAAAGACTGAGACAGGATTCCTGCATGCTCCTGCTCCCAGCCATCTTGGGCTATGTCATAAACTCCTGGTCAATCTGAGACCCTGTCCCCTAAAAAACCCTCAATAAGGAAATAAATAAGCCTTAATCCCGTGTAAGGGCATTCACCTACTTCTCTGCAGGGACTGCTTCTCTACCCAAGGTATAAAGAAGGGAGTGTTGAAAACTCCCTAGTTAATAGCAGTGAGCTGCAGACATCCTCATCCTTGCTGCCTTGGTCTTCTCTCAGGTCCACCTAAAAATGTAGGACTCCAGTCAAGACACGGACAACCCAGAGGAGGAAATGGATGAGGCAAGTGTGATTTTAACGCTTGCCCCAGTTACTGAGGATCCTGCCGTGTAACATCCAATGAACTCAAACATTTCTTCAACCAGAAATCTCAAATAACCAATTTCCCCCCTCTGCCAACTTGTGAGCAAATAAAACTCTCTCAAAGAAATCATTTATAAGCGACCAGCCCTTCCCCTATGGCTGCCCTGCTCCTGTCAATGGCTCTGTGAAGGGGCTGCTGTCAACAGTTTAATAGGGGTTTATCTGAGACTCCAGAGACATGCATTTCCTCAACAAAAATATGATATTCTTAATGCATTGCCTGAGGCATTGAATTCAGGCTTCAGGAAAGGAGGGAGGGAGGGACCAAGACTTCAAGGCAGCTGCAAAAAGTGTAAGAGAGGGGCACCTGAGGGTTGAAGTTGTTTCTTTAGCTTAGAAGTCCATGTTTGGAGCTTGGGGAAGAATTGTGCAAGAGCCATTCAGCCTGGGACTATGAATCATTCTCCCCTTCTCATTTCTGAGGAAGCCTTGTGCTACAAGCCTCTAGTGCCAGGGGGTACACTGTCCATGGCAGACAGCTTTCTGCAGATATGACAGGCCACACTCACTTCAAGTTTCACGCGGGCCAGACCTGGGTCAGAGATATTTCCCAGATGATGACCTTTCTTTCCCCGGGGATAGAAAAGATGACATGCAACGCCCTGATTGTGTTCAAAGGAATAAGAAGATGATGACAGAAATAACTGTCACCACAGACAGGAGCTGTGCCAGAGACACTATGCTACTCCCAAGTAGGCCACCCAAGATAACAACAAGGTTTTATTTTGACACAAAGGGCTTAGAAGAAGAAAAGAGAAACCTTCTGTATTCCTGACAATGGCTTAAAAAACAAAACAAAACAAACAAACAAAGTAACAGGTCATTAATCTTCAGAAGTCCCTTCTCCCATCATCTCTGCCAGGACAAACAGCAGAGTGTCCACAGACAAATCAGCTTGCATCTAACAGTGTACAGGGTCTTAACTATCCTTGACCACTCCTGATACCTTGAGTTGGACTTGCTTTGTTACCTGGGATATAGGATATGGGATATGGGATATGATTTTGCTTTAATGGGTTTGTTTCTCTGCATTTAGGAGCAGTTTCAGGACAATAAAGCAGATGGAGTTCCCACACATGCCTAAGTGTATCCTAATAAAATTTATTGTATATTTAAAAAGGAAGAGACTTCCTTCTGCTCCTGTGAGTGGACAGGTGCTGCTGTACCTTCTTGGGAATTCATAGTCCTGGGGAGTGAGGCCCTCTGTGGGGTTTCCATTCCAATTCCTAACCAGACTCATCCCCTTATCTTTTTTAAAAAGCATAATTTATTTTTTTATTTGCATTGGTGTTTTGCCTGCATGTATGTCTGTGTGAGAGTGTCAGATCTTGGAGTTACAGGCAAGTGTGAGCTGTCATGTAGGTGCTGGGAACTGAACTCAGGTCCTCTAGACGAGCACTGAGCCAGCTCTCTATCCCCAAGCACTTATCTTTCACCTTAGATATCAGGCCACTGAACACTCACAAGTGGCAAGTGTGTCCACACCAGGGCCTGCTAACTGGGTTTCTGTCCTGGCAGATGCCTTCTCCAGGTTCCTCCTCCTTACAGGCTCCAGAAGATGCTGTGTATTTTCTGCATCCCAGAGATGCACTTTGACATGATTTTGAATATTTGAAACGGTTGGATGTAGGAAGATTGTCAGCACTTCCAGAGTACCTGCTTCACGAGGGCCCTAAGGACAACTTCTGTAGTATCCATGGTAGCATTTGCCTCAAAGCTGGAGTGGAGTCGCCTTGCTCTATACATCCTCCAAGCTTTCCTTGCAGAAATATGACCACATTTTAAGAACGGACGCTCATTGGCCTTTTATTCTATGTAGAATATTGGTCAGCAGTGTCATTGCCTATAAAACTGAAAGTAGTGAAGCCCCGCTTGTTTATGTGCCCAGCAAATACATATTTGCTGAAAACACTCTGTGCCAGGCACTAAACCATGTGTCAGTGAAAGGGGAGTCTTCGCTCTCAGGGTAACTCCACTGCAAATCTAAGCTACAGAAAGATGTGCTAGCATGATGAGCCTGGTTTTGGGGGGATTGTCAAATATAGATGTGATGTAATTGCTTATGATAAGACAAGGACACATTGAGGTGCAGCACCACCCGTTGTGTAGGCCAGACGTCAGGAAGGTTGACTCTATGTACAAACACTCAGTGGGATTATTGCTCATAGTGCAGTAAACAGAGTGACATAGGAGTGTGTAAGGGTCCTGCCTATCTTGTTTTTTAAATACACCCTACAGACACAATGCCCAGATGCCCCTGACTTATAATAATTGGGCCTACAGTCTTGATTTTGTGACAGTGTGAGCATCCCCACATTCTGTTCTCTTCCTCACTGTGTGCTGACATGAGCAATCCTACATGTCAATATCAAGTGGGCCATGGATTAAGCAATTTTACCCAAGGCCAGCATTCTCAGTTTCTTCATAGAAGGTCAATAATGACAGAAATGTATTAAAAGCCCATAGGAAGCAAAGACAAATGACCTAGAAGATACCTTGGGGCACCATTAAATGTCAGCACACAGAGGCAGTTTGTGTCCAGCTCAGTGTCTGTTCAAGAGGACAGGATGAAACATTTCAAACAGACAACGAAATCAGTTTGGCAATCAGACGACCTTTATCCCAAGAACCTTCGGAAGTTGCTTTAAAGAAGAGAAGAAAAGAAAAATGATCATAGATAAGATAAGGAACAGGGAATTTAGAGAACTGAGAAATCAATTACACTGATTCACAAAGATACCAACTGACAAGAGAGGAACACTCTGGATTTAGAGGCTAAGGTAGCTGGCTGCAACTAGCTAGGGTGACTTCAGCAGCGCAGGCGGGCTCCTTTCCTTGGACGATCAGCGATCTGCACTGAGAAACCCCTTCCACCCTCAGTGTCTGGCCAACAACCCCAGACAGAGTGTTAGTCTAAGTCATAGCTCTGAGCACCATGCATACCCAGGCTGGTGAGTGAGCACCTAGCAGAGATGCTCAGTGGTGTGTCCTGCCTAGGAGATGTTCAGCTCCAGCTCTAGGAGCAGCCATGTAGCCTGACCCTGTCTGTGGTTCAACCTCCATTGTCTTCATCATCCCCATAAATCCAAAAAGTGGTACTGTAAAGATCTTGCCGGTAGTTAGGAAACACTGTCACAACAACAGATAACAGATTGTTACAGTTATATAAGTGACATATAATGAGACTATATGGCAGCACAGTTGGGTTTTTTCATTTTTTTATTTATTTAGAGACAAAGTCTCATGTCGACTAAATCAGCCTCATGTGACTTCAAGCTTGCTGTGAGGCCAAAGATAACCTTGACCTTCTGGTCTTTCTGCTTCCATCTCCCAAGTGCTGGAGTTACAGAAGGTCACTGCAAGGTTCTGTTGACAAAGCTCTGAGGATGGAACCTGGGGAGTCACACATTACAAAGCAAGTACTCTACCATCTGAACTGCATCCTCAGGCCTTAATTTGTTGTTTTTATTTTTTATTTTTTGCCACAAAGTCTCATGTTCTCATTTTATGGATAAGCAAGTAGGAGCCCAGAGAAATTAGGGCCTGTGCCTAAGGACATGGGAGTGAATGGCAGCATGGGGTGGCCCCTCCCAGGTTGGGTTGATCCTGCCAGTGGGTAGTGGATGTGAGTGGCAACAGCATGGAAAACCATCCTTTAGTGATGCTTGAAGGACGGACACTGCAGTTAAGTAAATTTTGTGGGCCTCTGGAGCCTATGGAATACCAGCCCCCTGACCCAGTCTCCACATTTCTGTGGCATCAGCCTCAGGTGTGGGTGGCTCAGTGCCAGTTGGTCCCCAGCACATGTCCACTTTGCCAAAAAAGCCGAGGAATGCCTGGATTCTAGGAAGAGTATGGCTAAGGAAGCCCCAGTCACAGGATGCTGGGCACAAGCAGCCCATTGACCTAATGAGCTTAGAAGCCAGACAGGGCATTTGTGGAAATCCTCATTTCAGGAACAACAAGGCCCCTCACGCAGCTCCGCACACCATCTTGCATGCCCTGCTCTCACCTGATGACCTCCCTTCTGTTGGAGTCCTGTGGTTTCAAGAAACCATAGCCTACAAAAGTTCAGCTCCACACCCCACTTTCCAGCAGAGGTCTGCCGTTTTCTAGGACCCTGTGATCAGCACCAAGTATGACTGAGCTCTTGGCTAGCTCTGCCCTTCCTGAACAACCATCTGTCCAGGAACAGCCCATCTGCGTCCATGAACTAGAATTGCTCTTTGGCCCCTGATGAGGTGACCAGTGGGAGGTCACCTGAGTTCAGCTCTCTGTCATTTCCAGTACACTGGTCTGGTGTCTTGCAGCAGCAGTCTTGTACAATAAGGTGGGAGCATCACCACATGGGTGCCTTTTGATCAGGTTTAGATTAGGACAATCTATGGGAAACACCATAGTAAAAGTAGTGAAATGGAACAAGGATGTGAAGTAAACGACAAGCATGAATTCATTCTCTGTTCTACACAGGTCTGGAAAGTTAGGGAGAATCCAGCCATGGGGCTACCCACCCAAACTGCTTCCAGCCTAGAATTCAGTTCCCAAGTCCATTCTCCTCATCGGGGCATGGTGTTGACCAGGCTTTCAGACATGAGGCAGACACACACTGGAAGGAGGCAGCTTCTCTTTGATGAAGGACGTACAATCAATCACTAGAGCTGACCAACAGAGTCCTGAAGCTGGACCACAGGCAGACAAGGGAGGAAATGTGTAGGCAGAGTTTCTCTGTGTCCCAGCAGCTGCTTCCAAATAACCACATAGAGATTTAATATTAATTATAAATGCCTGGCCAATAGCTTAGGCTTATCTCCAGTCAGCTCTTACAACTGAAATCAATCCATGTCTATTAATCTGTGTGCTGCCCTGAGGTTTGTTTACCTCATCTATGAACTTCCCATGTTGCTTCTTTCACATCTGACTCAAGACTCCTCAAACCCTGCCCTTCTTCTTCCCAGCATTCTCTCTGCCCCCAAATCTTACCTAGCTATCGGTAATCTGGTTTTTATAATAACGAGAGCAACACTTTTTCACAATGTACAGAAGGGTTATTCCACAACAGAAATGCTTCAGGCTTCACCCACAGCTGGACAAAGCCTGCCCTCAACCTCCTAGTTCTGGATGTTGTTTGCTCCAGAATAGACTGGATTTCACAAAGCTCCTGAAGTCCTGATGGGTTGGTGTTGTCCCAAGATAGAATCCGCAGGGTCCATCCCAGGGCAAGGTATCCCGGGGCTGTAAGTTACATGGCGGGCATTGCACGCTGATGCCAGGGCTGACCTGCACCTTGTTCAAGGGAAATCTGTGCCTATCGGCTGAGATAGATGAAGCAGATGCTGAGAGTCAGCATCACCCAGCTGGCATGGAGGCTCACTGTACTGTTGCAGAGGTCTGTGTTGCAGCAGGAGTCCTTGGAGTTATTCTGGATCTGATGGATATCAGGACAGGTAAATGCACATGTTTTTGTCACGGTCGTTTGCTGACCTGGGGGTGCTGGAAACAGAGGACAGAGGGCCATTTACTGAAACCTATAAGACCCACTCCTGACCCTATGAGCAACCCAGGCCACCTACAACCTCCAGTTCAAAGGGAAACACAGCAAGAGGTCAGGAGGGTCAAACTCAGGTTGTTACCAGGAACAGGGCTCAGTATGTGGCCAAGATTAAGGATTAGTATGTAACCCAGGGTCAGGGCTCAAAGTGAAGACCAAGGCTCTGAGTGTGACCAAGGTTAAGGTTCAGAATATGACCAGAATCAGGACTCAATGTGGGACCCAAGGTCAGAGGCTCAGGAATGTGACTAGGGTTACCCACTCACTGTATTTCTCTGCTTTCCTTTCTGAACAGCCAGCACTCTTGGGAACAGGTAGAATTGTACATTTCACATGGCTGCACTACATACAGTTGCTAACTTGGAATATCCCACCCACTCTAAGACAGTATGGTTGATTCCATTTTGAAGGGAGGGCAGAGCACTCAAAATCCCTCAACAATTGAGGGGACTCTCAGAGCCATATTGTCCCAGTACCCCAATTCTACCAGAAAGCTTTGTCTTATCCTGGCATTCCCAGGTGCCAGATAGAAGGTTCCACCCTGACCCACCCACCTAGGATCAAGGTACTTACTATACCAGGAGGTCAAACAGTAGCGGCTCATGCTATTGCAAGATGAAGGGCTGTAGCAGTTCCCTATGGCATTACACTCGTGACACCGCAGCGCCTGAGCTGGAAGGACATAACTGGGGTCAGAGACAGAAGCACTCCATAGCCACACCAGACAGTACAGGATGCATGGACAGTTCTGTGGAAAGCACCGACCACCAAGCAACCCATTCTGTTCTCCAGTCACGCACTTGGACAGCCTCTTGGCAGCCACACTGAGACACAGGACATAGAGCCCTGTCTCTAGTCCAGGAAACCAGAGCTCTAAGCAACCAGCAGTCCATGCTGGTGGTCATATGCCTGCTACAGGAGAAGGTCACCAGCCAAATGATGCTAATTCTACAAGACTTTGCAAAAGAGACAGCAAGTCCAGCAGAACACCTAGACTTACTAGGAAAGGTGAAACTAGTGAGATAGCTCAGTGGGTAGAGACACTTGCTGCCATGCCCGAAGACCTGAGCTCAGTCTCACCTGTAGAAGAGAATCAAGTCCTACAAGTTGTCCCCTGACCTCCATCCACGTGCACACTTTGGCATGATCACATGTATGAACATGTGCAGTGCATACACACACACACACACACACACACAGAGAGAGAGAGAGAGAGAGAGAGAGAGAGAGAGAGAATATTAATGTACTAAAAGAATTTTAAGCTGAGTAAAGGTACCACAAAAGGGTTCCATGGCTAGACTATAGTCACATTCCCAGATCAGGCAGCCTGGCTGTGAGACCTCCAGCAAGTCCTGTCCCCAAAGCCAGCACCTCCTCTGAACAGCAGGACCACATCATCTGGGGGTAGGTAGGTCCAGCCAGTTCAGGATGTAAGCCACAGTCCTAATGGGTTCTGGTGACCTAGGACAGAGGTACCTACTTCCTGGCTCACCTGAGGAGCCCAGAAGAATCAAGGGCAACAACCATAGCAGGCAAGTCCTCATCTTGGGCAATGGTGACAAGCAGAGCTTGTGTCTGTACCCGGCTAGCACTAAACCAGTGTCTTTATAGTCCCTTCTGCTGTGGTGGGTGGGGCCTCAGTCTGTCTCTCTCCCCTGACTACATACATGTGTCACCTCTAGGGGTGTGGTTGGAAGGTCAATACCTCCAAGATTGCTTTGTCCAGCACTCCAAACCCTCTTCCCAATGCCCATCCTCTCTTTCTCCTGCTCCCTACAAAGCTCCCACCCAAACCTCAGCCAGCTGTGTAGCCCTGATTCCAGCCAGGCCATCATCCAAGAACTATTGTCTGTCCCTTGTCCATCTTGGGAAATGTTTCAGGCAGGACTGAAACACTGGAAAAGTGTCTTCTCATGGTGCAGGAGGAAGGAGCCCCAGGTCACAGTACCCATGGGTGACATCCTCTCAAAGTTCCACTCATTGTTATATAGGTGGCATTTTCCCCTCATGTTCTCAAGTGTCACTCCTAACCTCTTCAGAAACCTGTGAGATGGGATTGGGCCACCAAAGTAACTTCCCTGTACTTCTTAGAGGACTGTTTCCAAGAGTCTTAACCTGAGGAGCTGAGAGCTAGGGGCCTCAACATACGGATTTGTGGGGATAGAATTCAGTTCATATGCTGGCTAGTTTTATGTCAACTTGCCACAAGCTAGACTCATCTGAGAGGGAGAGCCTCAGTTGAGAAAATGCCTCCATAAAATAGGGCTGTAAGCAAGCCTGTAGGTCATTTTCTTAATTAGTGACTGCTGGAGAAGGGCTCAGCCCACTGTGGATGGGGACATCCCTGGGATGGTGGTCCTGGGTTCACAAGAAAGCAGGCTGGAGCTGGGCAGTAGTAGTGCACACCTTTAATTCCGACACTTGGGAGCAAAGGCAGTTGGATCTCTGTGAGCTGGAGGTCAGCCTGGTCTACAGAGCGAGTTCCAGAACTGGCTCCATAGCTACTGAGAAACCCTGTCTTGAAAAAAAAAAAAAAAGCAGGCTGAGCAAACCAGTAAGCAGCACTCCTCCAGCACCCTTCAGTGACCCCTGCATCAGTTCCTGCCTCTGTTTCCTGCCCCATTTGAGTTTCTTCCCTGATTGCCTTCGAAGATGGACTGTGGTATGGAAGTGTAACCAAAGTAAACCTTTTCCTCCACAAGTTTCTACATGGACCAGACCCTGTCCACAATTACAAAATGGGAAAGAGGCAGAAAGGTATGAAACCTACCTCCTCAGAGCCCCTCCAAACCCTTCAGATCCTCCAATAAGTCCAGGGAGGGTACCCAACATGGCCTGCCATACGACAGAAGAAGAATCCATAGTAACATTCACACCATATGAAGAAAAACTAAAAGACACACAATGGAGAACACTGATCTGGGGATGCTGGGGGACAGTGGACTGGGGATGCTGGGGGCCAGTGGACTGGGGATGCTGGGGGTCAGTGGACTGGGGATGCTGGGCATCAATAGGCTGGGGATATTAGAAGTAGAAGGCTGGAGATGCTGAGCCACGGGGCTCTGGAAGCAGGTTAGTGTCCATTGACTGTTCATAGGCTGAGCAGTTCTCAGCTCTATATTCAGTGATGCCAAGTGTAAAAATTGGTCTTCCTTTCCAACTTCCAGGATTCTGGATGTAAATTTTTGTTCCCATTTTATGGCAATGAAATGAAACGTCCAAAGGGAGAAGGAACCAGCTATGCTGCGCTGTGAGTTACGGCTTTCTTCCCCCTGGAAGCTGCATCTGCCCATTGCTGAGAATTTTCCCAACAGACTCGAGGCTCCCAGGACAAGGAAAGTATTCTGCTGTGCCAAAAGCTTATGTCTGGCTCCCCTCCTGGGGTCCCAGCCATATTTAGACATGTTAGTGACCATACCCTGTCATAGGCCAGGACTCAGGAAACCCCAGTGACAGGATCAATATCCCACCCAGACCTTGGCCAGCAGCCAGGCACAGTGGCCTCCAGCTCCTGAGCCAGCTGTGCAATGAGAGCCTTTTACACATGGCCATGCACTCAGGGAAGTGGCTGACTTGATAGCACTTCCCAGGAAAATTATCTAAGGTTAAAGGCTGTGTGACCTCAGCCACTCTGCTGTCATAATTACCTCCTCTGGGTTAACAAGGCTCAGGGGTTAGCCCTTTGAGACACACATTTGTGATAAGGGACTTAGACAACACCTTGACCCGTCATAACTGCCAGCCTACAAGGCCTGTTTGTTGTCTTGGTCCTCTAGACAACCTACACAGAACAGTAGAAAGTCAGCAGGTCTGCATCCCACCCAGAACCATCCACATGCCAAGCCTAGGAAGTGTAGGTGCACTGCCTCACCCAAAAGTGATTGACTAGATGGAAATAAACTAAAGATTTAGGCAGGAGAGATGACACTGAAAGCCCTAAATGTCATTATGGAACCTTCATAGGGGTGAAACAGAGGGCAGGGAGATGGCTCAGTCAGCAGAGTGTTTGCTTTGCAAGCATGAGGTCCTGAGTTTGATCTCCAGAACCCACAAGAAAAATCTGGGTTTGTGTGGTGGTATGTGTTTATAATCCCAACATTAGAGAAGTGGAGATAGATGGATCTCTGAGGCTTGGGGGGCAGTCAGTCTAGCCTACTTAGTGATCTCCAGGCCAGTGAGAGACAGAGTCTCAAAAAGACAAACAGATAAACAGACAGGCAGAGACAGATGGAGAGAGAGAGAGAGAGAGAGGGAGAGGGAGAGGGAGAGGGAGAGGGAGAGGGGGAGGGAGAGAAGTATAAGGAATAAGTGTATAGCATTATTTCAGGCTGTTGGGTTTGTGGTCTTAGCCACCACAAGTGGCTAAACCATCAGTTGTCCACTTGGCTAAGTGGACCAATAAGAGAGAGAAAGAGAGAGATGTACAGGACCTACAACTGACTTTGACCTCTGTTCATGTGCATACATGTGTATGAGTACCACATGAACACACACACACACACACACACACACACACAGGTGAGGCTGGAAGGTCATAAAACATTGCATGGTATCTGAGGACAGAAGCAAGAAGGGGGCATATATCGAACAAGCTTCTAGAAGCTGGAAGGATGGGCAATGATGCTGCCCTCCAGAAGCAGGAGTGTGCAGCTCTGCTTAGGTGATTTTGCCCCAGAGGACCATGCCCTTGACCTCAGAAGTGTAAGGAATAAGTGTATAGCATTATTTCTGGCTGTTGGATTTGTGGTCTTAGCCACCACAAGTGGCTAAACCATCGGTTGTCCACTTGGCTAAGTGGACCAATAAGATGTGGACCCAGGTCTGAGGTTCTGTCTTGAGGGGATTCAGCTGATGATGAAATGGCAAGCACGGGGGCTCCTCAAGGAGTTCAGCTCTGCCACAGAATGGATGACAGAGGCCTTCTAGCTTCCATCCCCACTTCTGAAGGCCCCATGCCAGCATTGGACTTTCCCAATACACAGCAAGCAGTGTATGGATGTGAGTGGCCCATAATGGTCAGCAGTCACCCCACACACCTCACAGACTGGTCCAGGTCCATCCCTACTGGACGTATAGTCTCTAGGTCTCCAGGTCACTGTGACCTGATGCAGCCTTCACCAAGGATGTAGCACTAAAACAAGGTGTGTCTGTCTGTTTTCTGGAAGTGTTTTTGTTTTTGTTTTTGTTTTTGTTTCTGTTTCTCGTAGTCCAGGCTGGACTTCAATTATTGGTCTTCCTCTCTCCGCCTCCAAAGAGCTGATAGCACAAATGTGTACTGCCCCACAGTGTGGTGAGTTGGTTTTTATTATGGTGATAAAAAACACACACAAGCCTTTGTTGCTAATTAAACAGTTGAGTGGCAGTGAGCACATTAATGTTGAGCCACCACCATCATCCATTCATCACTAATGTGGAACCACCATCACCATCCATTAATCCACAAAATGCTTTCATCTCTCCAGACAGAAATTGCCCCTATTAAACACTGAAACCCACCATCCTTTCAAGACCCTGGGACCCACCATCACACTTTCTATCTCTATGGATTTGACTCCTCCAGGGACCTCTCAAGGGTTTCAGGTATCAAGCCAACCTTGAACCCAGTATGTAGCTGAGAGTGTGGTCTTGAATGTCTGATCCTCCTGCCTCTACCTCCCCAGTGTTGGGATTACAGGAAGACACCATCATTGCCATTTTATGCAGAACTGATCAAATGTACACCTTAGTGCATGCTAGGCATGAACTCTACCAACTGAGCCAAATCCCCAGTTCAGCTTTTGTCTTTTTGCAACCTGGTTTGTTTTATTCCCTCCTGGTTCATCATGTAGCAAGTCCTGTGTTCACATCTATTCTGAGGGTGTGTTACCAGGCTCTCAAGTATTTGTCATTGATGCATCTTCTTGCTGTGCTATGGCTTTAATGTGCACCTTCTTTGCCTAGAGTCAATCCTTCTGGCTTGTTTCTATCTGCCAAAGTTGCCATTTGGCTCCCTTCTGCCTAAAATTTTCTGCATTCTATTCACTTTCAACCTGTTTATATTTCTGTATCTCAAGAGAATTTTGAGCCAGGGGAGTGTGGCTCAGTAGTAAAAACTTGTCTAGCATGCACAAGGCCCAGGATTTTGCCCCAGCACAGATAGATAGATAGATAGATAGATAGATAGATAGATAGATAGATAGATAGATAGATAGATAGATTAGTATCGATGATAGATCAGTGGCTCCCAACCTTCTGTATGATGCCACCCCTTAATACAGGTCCTCAAGTTGTGGTGACCTCTGACCATAAAATTATATTTTACTATTTCATAGCTGTAATTTTGTTAATGTTATGAATTATAATGCAAATATTTTTGAAGATAGAGATTTGACAGAGGTCATGCCCCACAGATTGAGAACCTCTGCAAGAGACAGACAGACAGATAAGGTGAGTCTCTCACAGACAGTGCATAGTTGAATCATTTTTTAAAGCAAATTCTGACAGCCTCCATCTCTTTTTTGTATGTAAATGTAGTATGCATGTTGTATGTGTGTTTACTCACATG